GGGCTCAAACCCGGGGGGTTTGGGGTTTTTTTTTAGGAATAAAAGGTCCTGAAAGCACAGGAAAACCACATCCGTAAAAAAGGTGGGATTTGGGCACAGGGGGTGAATCCGGACTGGGAAGTGATGGGAAGCAGCCCCGGGATGTTCCCTGTTGGTCCCAAAAACCTTTGGATGGGGCGTTGTCCCCGGGCTGAGAGGTGGGAGAAGGAACAAGGAGCCCCAGGGAGAAATACTTGGAATAAGGAAACGGATCTTCCCGTGCTGGAGGAGAGGCAGGGGCTCTAAATCCTGAATATTCCCCAGCTGGACCAGCCCTGCCGGGTTTTCCAAGGCTGTTCCTTATTCAATCCACACAAATGGGATTTGAATCAGCCCTGTCGGGTTTTCCGAGGTTCCACATCCAGAACATTCCTCACTTGGACCAGCCCTGCCGGCTTTTCCGAGGAAATCTGGACATGGACAACCTGGAAACACACAACCTTGGGAGCAAAGAGGTGGGAAAACCCGACATTCCTTCAGCACAATCCCAAGGAAAAGCTGGGAATGGTCCCCAGGGCTCAGCTCTGGAAAAGCCCCGGGCCGGGAGGGAAGAGGCCTCACCTCATCCTGAACATCAGGTGGACGTTGGTGTCTTTTCCCACCTGGAATTGGTGGTTTGGGGGGAGCCACACCCGGCCCTGGGGGTCGTAGAGGGCGAAGAGGCTGTAACACAGCGGGGTGATTCCTGCCGGGACACAATTCCGAGGGGTTCAGCAGGGACAGAATTCCAAGGGTTTCAGCAGGGACACAATTCCAAGGCTTTCACCACCACACCCCTTTCCCGCCCCATCATTCCCACCCATCCCAGCAGCACAAACCCAGCCGGGCTTCCCAGGAACTGGGAATTTCTCGGCCAGGGGGTGAAATCCAGCGGGATTCCTNCCCTCCCGGCACTCACCGATCCTGCGGGCGAGGTCGATGCAGATCTCCTCGGCGCTGAGGGACCCCTGGGCGTAGACCCGGCAGCGTTCCCGCTCCTCCTCCCCGCTCCAGTGCAGGAACACCTTGAGCCCGGGCCCGGGCGGGAAGGAACAGCCCTCGGGCGGGAAGGAACAGCCCTCGGCCTCGCCCGCGCTCCGCTTCATCCCCCGCTGGCACAGGGACATGGCGGCGCCTTCCCCAGGGAAAACCGGGAATAACGGATCCCGACGGGGACACGGGGCGATTCCCAACGCGGGGGGAGCCCTCCCGGCCCTCTGGGATGGGGGGGAAGCACCGCTCGGGAAGGGGTGCTGGGATCACCTGGAATGTCGGATCCCACCGGATTTCCCCCCCACCCTCGGGTTTATCCCAGGAAAATTTGGCGCCTTTTTTTTTCTGGATGGTGACGGGAAAGGATCGACAAAACACGGGAAAGGAACGAACCCACGGAGCAAATTCCAGTGGTTTTTGGGGGGAAAAAGGTGGATTTTGGACTCGTTTCAAGGATGGATTTTGGAGCTGCTTCCAGGGGGGCTTTGGCTCATTCCCAGGTGGATTTTGACCCATTTCAGGGCGGATTTGGGGATTTTTCACCCACTTCAGGACGGATTTTGGACTCGTTTCAAGGATGGATTTTGAAGTGGTTTCCAGGTGGGTTTTGGCCCATTTCCAGATGGCTTTTGACCCGTTTCAGGGTGGATTTGGGGATTTTCACCCCTTTTGGGGTCTCTGGATGGATTTTGAGCCATTTTGAGATGGATTTGGATTGATTTGGGGAGGGAATTTTGGACCCATTTCTCATGGAATTCTAACCAATTACAGGACGGATTTGGAATAATTTCTGGACAGATTTTGACCTGTGTTGGACTGAATTTTGGACCCATTTTGGGCTGAATTTTGGACCCACTTTGGGATGGATTTTGACTCGTTTTGGGGTGAATTTTGACCCGTTTCCGGGTGAATTTTTGACCCACTTTGGGGGTGAACTCTTGACCGATTTTAGGCCGAATTTCTGACCTGTTTCATGGTGGGGTTTGACCCATTTTGGGGTGGATTTTAACCCATTCTGGGGTGGGGTTTGGCCCATCTCAGGCTCTCC